CGACCGGATCTTAAGTAGGCTGGTTTGTCAGCTTCCTAGTCTACAGTGAAGGAATGATAAATCATATAAGCATGGGCCGAAAATTTGTAGATTATTCACGTAAAGGCCGACCGTTATAAGGAATGCCATCTGATAATTTTGATTGTTGTCCGGAAAGAGACATTGAGAAATAGGAATATAAAGTCAAAAAATAAAAAGAGATTTATCTAAAAACCTCTTTTCGTCATTTTACATGAAAAGATTCCCACGAACAAAGTCTTTGAAAGATGGCCATTCCGATGTTTTTCAACAACTGAAAACTGCAACATGGCAATATAACTTAGAAATAGAAACGTCGGTTTTCGAAATTTGAACCTTCCTATATATCTCAGATTTATTTCCAAGTGGTAATTATGAGTTCTCCACACTGAAATCTGACTTCAATTGAGCGATATTTGATGATGACGATGGCGTAAAAATAGCAGTTATGGAACATTTTGAGGACAAAAGCTTCATTTTACTTTTTAAGGATAAAGGTTTACACATTAGAAGATAAAAAGTGTGTTTGAAAACACAAGGAAATTGTACTGATTTAAAGTATATGATTTTCATACGTATTACAAACATATTGTTAAGAGTTATGGTTCTCCTTTAATAACTACTGCAGAAGAGCGAGAAAAAACTAATAGGTTATTGAAATAAATGATCACAGATATCCCGAAGAGAAAACATATGTAAGAAACATTTTCCAAAGGTACGAAGAATATCGCTAGTCATCGATATTCTAAAGCACTGAACACTGTGCGAAACCTCAATAGGACCATTCAATTTTGAGCTGATTCTCTGACCTATCTGACTTACACGGTATGAACGCAGCCGTATGTATATATAGGGCAGTAATTATATCTAGACAGCTTCTCCAAATCGTTTAAGAACACAAAAAAGATTGAGAAACCTCCAGAATGTCACCAATTTTGAGAGAAGTCGGAAACAGCCTTTACTGTCGCAGCATGAATAGTCGTGAAGGCCTATAAGAAGAGAGATTTTGCTTACAGTATCTCAGCCATTATGTCAGTTTGTAGAGACAGTAGGTATTTTTTGGAAGCAGGCAAGATGAAAAATTAGCAAACGCCTTCGCCGGGAATCGAACCACGGACCTCTGGAATACTGCCCCAGCATGCAGAATCACTACACCACGAAGGCACGCTAGGAAAGCGGAAGAAATACCTTATATACTCCCCTTTTAATGGGCGACTGGTTTTTTTAGGGGCTCCAATCGTCAAATCCTGGGTGAGGAGTATCATCATCCAGCACCCTTTTAGTTCGGGCGCCACTGTAGAAATATTAGATATTTTTTGCAAGCAGGCAAGATGAAAAATTAGCAAACGCCTTCGCTGGAAATCGAACCACGGACCTCTGGAATACCGGCCCAGCGTGCAGACCACTACACCACGAGGGCACGCTAGGAAGGCGAGAGAAATACCTTATAATTTATTTTCGGGATTTAAACGCCAATCGATTTCGAATTTCGGGATGAACAATATAATATGTGTAATTACACATATTACATTGTTGACATTGCATGAGCACAATTCGTATACAAAAAGACTCCAAAAATACATAATAAGATGTACAAAATGCCCTAAATAAATCTCAACTTTACAACTTTTTCTGTTCCAATATATATATATATATATTTAACAAGCAAGGTAGTGAGTACAATACCGTAAGACGAATTTGGTCTAAATAATTTGTTTGCGCAATATGCTGGAAAATTAAGGAAATGAGAAAATGTAGAAAGCTCGCCAAAAATTTACCAGGAGCTGTGGCTCCAAGAAAATTTCAACACATTTAAAAAAAAAAAAAAAAAAAAAAAAAAAAAAAAAAAACAATGTCATTGAAGGGTGAAAAATTATGCTACACGTTAAATTAAACACAGTAAAATACTAATCTTTGGAAACTAGTAACGGCAAAAAATACAGTAAATACCTATCGATGTGACAAGTGAAAAGTTAAAACATAGAAAAACCAATCGATGGAACAAGTTTAAAACGTAAAACAAACATAAACATATAAAAATATAAAGCGGAAAATGGTAAATTAGCTGATCTCGAAGTCCAACCTGGCTTTTCAAGGGAAATTTCTAGTTGAACGTCGAATTAAGCTAACTCCATTACGCGTTTCGTCGAAACAGACAATTGAAACTTTTGCGTTACAAAATTTTAATTAAATAGACGAATTGTCTTAGAAAATTTATTAGTCTCAATTTTCTGTTCCAATTTCCCGACGCGTCCGCACAAAATGACACATTAAGGTGTTAAAAGATGTAAAAACAATTCCGATGTACAAGAATTAAGATAAAAATAAAAATAAATAGCAATATGCTATTAGTCAAAAAATACAATAACTTACGGGCTGGACCTGATATATATATATATGGAGAGAGAAAACATAATTGAAAAAACTGCGCAAAAAATAGTACGGAGTTATTGGGAGGAAAATAGAAAAGGTAAGACTTTAATCAAGTCAAGAATGCAATGTGCCGAAGCACGAAGAAAGGAAAGTAATCAAAAATAGGATATTATTCCTAAAATTAAAAGCAAATTAATTGTGAACCAAACATTTATTTATTTATTTATTTACTTATTTTTATTATTTATTTTTTTTACCTTTGTACGCAAGAGAATTAATTATTAATGTAACAGAGTTTCTCTATTATTCCTGGATGAAATGCTTAAATGAAACTTGAGCACAGTCTTTCAGTTTTAAAAATTAAATCTCACTAATTTTTTATGTTAAGTCCTAACAGGAATTTTCATACATAATTAAAATATTGAATATTTGAAAATTATTTTTGAATATATAGAACTTATCCATTTTTAATAAGATAAGCTAAGTTCAAACTTATAACAGACTTGGAGTGAATTATCACTTGTCTGAAGAGAGCTGCAGAGACTTAATATGTTTTAAACAAACCTTTTTATCAAGTCAGACCTGGAACATATATGCACAACTCGAGCTTATAAATTAGCCAACCACTTGGGAATGTAATTTAAAGTAATAGTAAGTTGAAATTTAGACTTAATAGCCAAGGGCTACTTAAATGATCTAAGCTGGCTGATATTTCTCCCCGAAGTAACAATTTAAATGTCAGCAAACCCGAAGAATATAATCTTATCTGGGCTAGTTGATCTAGTAAATTGGCCTCGAGAGACAGAAACATGCTTTTTCTTAGAATCTAACAACCTCAGTTTAAGGTCTCAATCTAATTTGCATTCTGGGGATGAAACTGAAGGGAAAAGCAACAGTAAAGATTCTAAACGTAAAATACTAGTAACTTGTAGTGATCCTGATATATCTACCTCCAAGCGAATCGCAAGAAATACATGCTTTCACATTTTAAATTATAACTTTAAAAATAAATAAATATAAATTGAGGAATTACTTTATAATGTCCATTATTCCATTAATATAAAAGAAAATAATTTTATTAAAGTTGTTACTTTGGAGCTCAAAGAATAAAAAAAAAAAAAAAAAAAAAAAAAAACTGTTGATGATCATTGTGAATAATTTTGCAAAAACGGCGCCTGTTACAAATGGATAATACTAGTGTAAGAACTACACGATCCAATTTCAAATAATGTAAATAAGACCAAAATTTTCAAAGCAGAATGTATATGGCTACCAAGGGTGAAGTATAGTACTTTATTACAATCAGCTTAAAGATCAAAATCATAATGCTAAATCAAAACATTGAGAACTAACTATAGATTGCATAAAGATGTCAAAGAATGTGTAAATAAGTTGTAAAAAAAAGGAACCAGTAAAGTGGCAAATAAAATCTTGCACTTGCTTATGGTTTGAATGTATAGACGTAGAAATTAATTGTTATTAGGAAAGCAGGTTTGAATAAGCAGAATAAATTAGGAAAAATACACATGAAAATATCCATTTAAAGGGAAAAAAGTAATAATAAAAGTAAGAAGACTAAAACTTTTCCTCCAGTCTATGTAAAGAAACAAGAGTGTGTTAGTTCTACAGGTTGTGAGTAGACGATTTGAGTTTAAGGATAATGGTAACGTATTAGGCATAAATTCTGCTGCATCAGCAAAAAATGCGGAAAATACTCGTATATTGGAAATATAATTTATAGGAATCATGTTTTTGAAACTGTTTACATTTTTATAATTTGTAATAAGGAAGGCAAATTTTTAATTGTTGCATAGCATTTATAAATTAATTTGGATTCCAATTACGAATTAGAAGTCACAACATGCCTTGGTTGTGGGTTATGATAAGTCTAGAAAAAGTGACCTTTTTCAATAACACAAATAATCATGTAAATACAAATGTACAATAATTAAGCATTCAGCAAATACCTTGTTTTTAGGTTTAAGTTAGAAAGTTTTATTTCTGATGGTAAGAAGTACTTCAAACTTCATTTTGAGTTGTGTTTACTATTAGAATAAGCGACAAAACATCTGTCTCTTATTATACTTCTAGAAGTTAACATTTAGAGACGTCTGGAACTCTGCATCTTAAAATAAAGAAATTATGCTCTTTAGATTCCGGACGAAGTAAAACTAAATTATAGAAATTTCAGTCAAATTCGTTTTACTTAAAAGATAAGCAAGCTATGGTCCACAACAAGTTAAACAGAGGAACTGCAAACAACTTTCGTAAGTTATAATAAACAGCTTTAATATATAACTACAAGCAGATTTAATGTAGTGGTATAAATTAACAATAAAATATTCCAAAACTCAAGAATTAATTCTGACACCCAAAAATAAATTATTTTGCCAATATGAATTTTAAAAGCGGTGAAGATGAGTACAGTAAACGACAAATGGAGAAAAGTTTTTGTCATTGTCTAGTATATACAGGGTGTTCGGGATAAATTTGACATATTTATAATTGATTATATTTTTCCGTAGGTTGGATGTATTTATACACATTAGTATATACAGGGTGTTCGGGATAAATTTGACATATTTATAATTGATTATATTTTTCCGTAGGTTGGATGTATTTATACACACTACTCGTCATTTAAAAGTTTGGACCCTTCTTCATTCATATACAAGATGTCAGAAAGGATGGATGACTGGAACCCACCTGAATCATGGAAGAAAATAAGTTGCATCATAATGATTCGTGCCAGCCATCAAAATAAGGATATTATGACTGCTGCCCAATGCTCCCTGAATGCGGTAAAAACAATCAGACATAAACTAGAGACTTGCAATGGTGACTATTAGGATGTAGCAAGAAGAAAGTTTCCTAGCAGACATCTGATTGCTTTCGTACAGCATAATTCCTCGCAAATCTGCAGGAACAGGTGTTGAAGAACCCTGACATTGGAATTCGGGCTTTGTCACGTGAAATGAATGTTGCAGCCTCTACTATGAAGTTTGCACTCAATAAAGACCTTCGCTATTGCTTATACAAGCGGATTTTCTTTTTCCTTACGAAACTGTCAAATTTATCCTGAACACCCTGTATTTGCTTGGAAGGCCAAATTAGGAGATATTTAGTGGAATCGATTTACTTAAGATGGTATTTCAGTGCTGAAAGAAACTCTGCTGTATGAGGAATGTGACAGATGATTTTTTGCCGTTTTGCCGATAGGCGATCTACACGGTAGATAAAAAACCGATTTGACCTTATCACGGCGATGATATGCTAGTGTCAGTCTTTCGAACTACCGATTGTATACCTGCGTGAAGGTGACGTAATGCATTTGACCTCTTATCTTTTACTATAGTGTTAGGAAAAAAAAATGTCGTTATGTTTGTACGCCGCCAAATCAAAAATGGGTCATATATTGCGCTGATCTTGCGCAGTATCGATACTAAGCAGCGTCGTTGTATGATTGTAAATCTTTGATATAGTAAAAGAAAATTCTACTCTTTAACTTTTTTTGACTCCTAAACTTTTCAATGACAATTTTGAAAAATGATTTGATTAACTTTAATATTATATTTCAAAAGGAATTTTTTATAATGGGAATACCAACTTTATAGAAGTTTATCTCTTATTGCTGCAATAAATTTTTTGTATATGTGATTTTAATTATCAAACGTAATAACACAGTTTTTATGTAATGATAAAAAATCCTTCAATAGAAAAATTAATGTACAAATTTATTATATAAATTTTCTATGCTAATAAATTTTATTCGACGACATTAAGAGGAGGAAAATGTGTTTGGAGAAGTTATATTGTCCCTTTACATATAAAAATATATACCTTCAGTGAATAATACACAAATCAAATAGTTAGCTTAACGTTTATAAAAGCCAAAAATTTAACGATGCGAGTCAAAGTGAAACTCCTTTTATCATACTGTTTTAGAATTAAAATTCCGTCGTTTGAATCTCATTGCAATAAACATCAAGAGAAATCAGCGAAACATTGTTTTATGGTCAAATTAATTGCTTTAAATTTAATTGAAGTGAAATATTATCAAGTTGTTTACGCTACTGACAAATTTACAAATTAGCTTCTGAAACTTTCTATTCTTAATCTGTATAATAAACCAGATGCTGCAATAGATTTTCGTGAATTTCTGAACAATAATCATTTTATCTTCTCAAGGAAATATTTTCTTAATTTCGTTAATATACGCAAGAGTTGCTTCGAGTTCAGAATTGAAATCCATAAAATTTCTTAAGCTTTGTTTAATAGCGAAACTCCTAAAATTCTATTGGTAATGAATCGTTTAAGAAGCATGCATTTTATAGTTATTGCTACGTATAAATAGGCATTAATATTAAAATTCAAAAATCAGTGATTAAAGTATGATTTCGATAAAGGTTTTCTTATACTGGGAAGACGAGAGTCGTTGGAAGAACATATTATCTCTTTATTAGCTTTTAGATTTGTGTATTGATTCACCTGAAAAATATGAGCTATTTCTCAAACTAAGCCGTAGGCTTGCGTACCATATCAGATTGTAACGATTGAAAGAACCAACAATTTTCAAATGAAGAATCTGTGCTTACAATGTAGATACATTTAACTGTATCAGAATACATATTATCAAGAGCAGGAGAATAGGTACTACAATAAAACTATTGCACAGATATTTCTTAATAAGCATAGCAAGTTTAGAGTATAATCTTGATGTCCGAATAAAGTATAGAATATTCAGGGTTTGGTCTAAAAGAAATCGAAAAATTAAATACTTATAAATGACAAAAAAATATTTATTTCCATCAGAAAGTATTTAGTACTGTTTTTAAGAAAAATTAACCCTTCACTTAGGACCCCAGTTTTCATTTACTTTAGTGATGTCAGCATATCGTGAGTGCTTCTGATCTCAGCAATGATCAGAAGCGTGAGATCTTCTGATCTCAGCTTCTGACCAAAAATGAAGTAGATAAAGCATGGTTTATGCAAATTAAGATTCTATTATATTTGTGCAGTTGTATGCTAATTATCGCATTATCTTATTATTTTTAGCTTTACTGTGACTTCTACTTTCGTCCGCACCTACCAGGATGCAAATTAGTTAGCGTGTATAACAATTAACATTTCTTGAAATTAGAAGGCGTTTTTCCTCTACTGTGATGACTTAAACGATATTTCTCACCCAGCTTTTAGAATTGCTTAAAGGGCTTTGACATTTTAAGTGTAGCTCGTGGACTTTAAAAACTTGAACTAATGCTTAACAGGAGTTGGTGATTTCCGAAGTCACTTTCCTTAATTAAATTTAAAGAAAAAATTTAAAATCTCGTATTGGATTATCTCGGTAGCAACAGAAGTTAAATTTGTAAGGTTCGAGCTGTGTGCTTGCTAAGTTTTAAAAATTTGTGTAAGCCTTTTTCTAAGTTATAACTGCTTCTGTAAGAAGTCGCTTGCCGGTCTGCACGAGACTAGAATTTAAGGTGTCCGCCGATAACATCGCGGCAAAAACACCGCGGACGAAAACGTCGCGGAGAAAACAACGCAAGGCGAAATCGTCGTGCTACAAAACATCGTGGGAGAAAACATCGCAAAGAGAAAACATCGCAGTTCTAAAACATCGTGGTACAAAATATCGTCGTCGAAAATAAAGCGGTTCAAAAACTTCGCAGTTTAAAAACATCGCCTTCGAAAATATCGTGGTAAAAAATAAAGTATCTACATATCATCGCATGACGTTAACATCGCAGACATGCTTTTTTCAGGCTTTAATAATTGTAAATGGATATTCCCATGATGATTTAAGAGCGCAAGATAGAAAGAAGGATAATTTTTGCTTTCATATTTTTTATTCACTAATAATTTTTGATGATAAAGTAAGAAGGAAACTTAAGCATAGAAAATTCATGCAACTTATAGCACTTAAAGAATGTTAACCCGCCATACTAGTAAACTATCTAAGGTCATTAATAAATCATTTTTATAAAGTTTTTACTGGTAATTTTTCATAAAAAGTATAATCTAAAAAAGATTAGAAAAAGGAAGGTAAGTAACTGCATTACGTTAAATATGAGAAAATTGCTAAATTATGAGATTATATTCTTCAGTTTTGTTTTAATCGAATACTCTTATAGTGAAAATTATTTCTTGTTTTGTTTCAGTTTATTCTTGCAGCGTGCAGTCAGTTACTTGAATGTCGATTTGCTAGTTATAACGAAAGTCAGCTATATAATATTTCAGCAGTGTTTGGATTTATTAGATTATGCCAAAGCACACTATGGCTATCTGCTTAAGGGGTGAGATTCCTTTGTCGGGTACATTCTCAGGAACTGGTTCATAAGCATATTATACTTCAGGAAAATCACGAAAATCTTCTAGCACTTTATTACTTAATTTTTCATATACATTTTATTCGAAAGTTTCGTAGTTACTTATTGAACTTACAGTGACCAACTTCCTAAGACAATTTTTAATGTTTTTCTTATCGTGTTTTTTGATTTTCAGAGTATTTTAATTTATGCACTCCAGAAATCTATAACGAAATTAAAATTAATACTTCTGAATTTCTGAGTGAGATTCTATTTTGTGGCGATTCTTTGTCGTCGGAATTCTTTGCCGAGCAACTTTGAAGCGACTAAATTTTCTTGTAATTTTTTAATTAAAGATAAAATTTAATGAAATAAAAACTTAATCAAATTCCCCTTATATAGTTTTTAAGGATAAAAACTGCACATATTTTACATTGACTTTTATTTTCAGTGACTGAAACGTTTCAAGCACAATTTTTTTTGTATTTAAATGACAAATTGTTTGGAATAAGAAAATCTAACATTTTTATGTATCATTTTAAATGCTTTAGAAACATATGATTTTGAATATCAATGATAACTAAATTTTAAAATTCGGGTTCGCTTCGTTGCATGATTATTTTTTAATTAAATTCACCAGAAAGAATATTTTTTTTAATAAATTGAAAGTATTTAGTGCTTTTACGCATTAAACTATTGGAAAAAAGATATCTTGAACAAAGGCATTCAATTTCCATATTTTACGTTTTAAATCAAACAAAAGTATCTTTTTGTTTTAATAATTTTACAAATCTTATAGTTTTTCTTCATCTGTAATTAACTGTAGTTTTAGTTTCACAGTTCATAATAAAAAAAACAATCATATACTGTGAATTAACTAAATCAATGAGAGTTGCGTTATTAGATAAATGTAGAATTAAGTTTATCCATGTACGTTACTGTAAATAACAAATGTACTAATTGCTTGTCTGATTTCTTCACCTCAAGATTAAATAATTTCTTCATCTTTCACTTCACAGGGAGGAAAAAAGGCTTCTTTATCTCTCTTCCTAGCCACAAAAACTCTACTACAGTGTTTATTACTGCATCTGAATGAAACAAAAGGAACAAAATGTTGCAAATAAGTTTATAACTTCATAGAGTTAACCATTTTTTATATGGGATATGCATTCTCTTTAATATTCATGCAAGGCTTAATTAGCATGTTGGTTGAGATTCATACTATATATTTATACTTGTATATACTCGAATCACATGCTTTTTTGAGTGATGGATTGCTCAAAAAAATAAATAAGCTCTTTTATTCATTTTGTTATTGCAACATGACTAATTTTTATATAAAGTGTAGTGGTGATGGTGAGTATATAAGAGGACTACATACAGTCCTTATTCGTTTTGTATATTGTCCGTATTTAGTAGTCCTTATTATATTACATATTATAATAATTCATTTTAGTAATATTTACGAATTCGCATTGATCCTGTGACACAACAAAGACTTCGTAAATTTTATAATGTTTGTGTGTAAAGACTGGACACCAAATTTTGAAAGTTATTTTGACAGATTAAAACATGTTTCAGGAAAATCTTTATATTTCTCTTATTGGTCTGAAGAAGTGTTTAAAAATAAAGAAATAAATGCATATTGCACAGTTCTGAAAATACACTGCTTAAAATTTATATAATTAAAAAAAATTATTTAATTTTGGAAAGTCTTGTTCCTCAGATTCTAAATATTTTCCATTCTCAGCGACAAAGTTTAAATTTATGTTTTTATCATACGTACAATCGGGAAGTTTCGGCTCCTTAATCGAACTACGTGAATATGTAATTTTATTGGAAAAAGATTAAAATGTTGTATTATTAATTATTCGTATTGCTGAAGTTTAGCCAAAAAAGAAAGAAAAAGAAAAAATTCCAATTAAATCTATATTTTAATATAATTCATTGATGAAATTAATTAAATAAATCTGTATGTATGAATACATATATGTAAAAGAGGCAAAGGGCTTTGATCAAAAACAAACAAGGAAGGGCGATCTAAGTATGTTTGTTAAACTCTAAACTTTTCTAGGTTCTCTTTTTAAACTACATGGTAGCAGTAAAACATACAAGTACTAATAAGTTAAGAAATGCTATTTCTGTCTGTACGTGGAGCATCATCAGTAATGACCGAAAGTTTCAGATGTATTTTATTAAC